TATTGGTGTCTACCCACACATGAAATCGATTGCCGTTTGTCTTCCGATCAAAAGAGTTTAATGTAAGGTCTGTTATTATTTATTGTCTTCAATCAGATATCGATCTATTATTGGTTTATCGATGCGGTCGAAACAATGACAAATATTTAAGAAGGCCGTTTCCGAGTGCATTGTACTTATAAAATATCAAACATTTTATACATTTTTGTCTGAATTTCTGGGAGATATCATTAGTTACATTAACTACACTTGGACTATTGTCCTCATCTTTGTTGTTGTTATCAACTGATCGCCTTCTGTCTGAATTTCTGGAAGCCATCATTAGTTTCGTTATCTACGCTAGGACTATTGTCCTCATCCTTCTTACTATTATCAGCTGAACGCCTTCTGTCTGAATTTCTGGGATGAAGAGTCATCGTTACTTACATTATAATCACGCTTAATATTGGCCTCGATTTTTTGTTATAACGTTTCGACCGTTATGTCCTCCGGCCTTCATCAGGTGCTTGTCTACAGGTGTAGGTTGTTCTCGTCCCTCTGACCATGTCCTGGGATATCTTGTCTTGTTATTATTGAGTACTGCTCAGTCATTGCGTACCCTCTTTTCTTTGATTCTAAGTCTGTGCTACCTAACCCAGGGATTGAACTTACTATGTCGGTCAGTTAAGTGACAAACCTTTTATTTGTATTAAACAAACAGGCGGACAATCAATCTCTTGAGACTGAACATTGGAGGTGATAAAGGTAATCTAATTTAATTTATGCTCGCCACTTATCATCAGAGATCCAAAGAAACTTTCTCCTCACACAGGGCTTTCTTTTTCTTTCATTCTAAGCCGAGTCAGCAAAAGAGAGCAGACGCTCTCGGCGAAAGGCGTCATTTAAAAATTTTCCATTTTGTCTCATCATTTTTACTTTTGTTTTGGAAACCATTATACATCCTACAAACACAGACACACACACACACACACACACACACACGACAATACATACACACACACACACACACACACACACATATATATATATATATATATATATATATATATATATATATATATATATATATATTCACGTGATACATGACTGACCAATGAGAATCGAATCACACAAAATTGGAAAAACCAAAATTCTGTCTTTTGTCTGTTTTCTTTCAATCTATTTGTTCTTTATCTTGTGTGTGTGTGTGTGTGTGTGTGTGTGTGTGTGTGTGTGTGTTGTCTGATTTAAAAAAAGCATTTACTTTAAACAATAAATAATTCTTTTAATTTTTCACTATGTTTCTCCATTGATCAAAATTCGGTGAGCTGTCAAGCTACACCCTTATTCATTCGGCTTCGTGTATAAACGCACGTGCTAGTTCGTTCGTGTTTGTGTGTATATGTATATATATATATATATATATATATATGTGTGTGTATATGGTGTATGTGTGTGTGCATATATATGTATGTGTGTGTGTTCACATCTGACCTATTTATTTATTTACGAAAGATAAAAAAAAGTATTTGCTGACAAAAGTAAACAAAAAAAAAATTGTTTATTTAAACCTGTCCATGTCGTGTGTCCTAGCTGAGTATGCCCACGTGTGTAGAACGTAAATGGCGATCGGCACGGAAAATATAATCGGGAAACGGGAATTGAGATATCAGCTGAGACTGCTTGCATTCACTTAAAGCACTACCCTTGAGAAAGGCATGAACCCGCTTTTCCCTTGCATGCTTTCCAGTTGCGATATATCGCTCTGCTGGAAACATGGTCGACTCCTTGTACCGCTCTAAAAAGGACTTGACACTTAATTAAATCTCATTAATTATATATATATATATATATATAAAGTAAACCTAAAGAGCCAGACAAACCTACCTAGGTTTGACCTACGCGGATCGTGTATATATATATATATATTTAAGACATTTTTATGTTTAACATTCTTTTTTATAGATACAAGTATTTAAGTAAATGCTCTGTTTATAATAAGCTATTAAATAACATTTACCGGCCTGAATGTCCGAGAAATTTTCATAGAAAATATTCGTCCTTTGACAGGATTCGAACCTGCATCCTATACGCTGACGTGCCTTACCGTCTCGGCCACAAAGGAGCGTTCGGTAGGCAATTTACTGCTTATAAACTTCAATCTTCCATGAATCTCGTACATTCATAACTGCTCTGGCGTATCAAATGTAAACAAATGACGTCATATATTAAGAAATGGACAAATGTCCAACAATTTATTTAAAAAGACATTTTATGTTTAACGTTCTTTTTATAAAAACAACGTTAAAGTAAATGCAACTGTTTAATAAATAAATTGTTTACTTTTGTCCATTTCTTAATATATATATATATATATATACACATCTTACTAGTGGATTCGGGGAGAGCTCAATGTAGACTACGCATCACTATAATGATAAGAAGACGGAGACTTTAATTATCCATTTCGATTATAATTTATTCCCTGAACATCGATATATACATATATATATATATATATATGTGTGTGTGTGTGTGTGTGTGTGTGTGAGTTTGTGTGTGCGTGTGTGTATAATATGTCTTCTCTGCGATGAAACAGTGCTTGACGGAGAAGAGTGGTAAAGAAAGATGTCGAGATAAAATTTCGGTCAAACGACTCCCCTCAGTCAGTCTGTCAAGTGCCATACACGCTCGGACGATCATGTCTCTTTTGATTCATGACTGACGAGGCAGATGAATTCGATAGAGCCCAGTCGGTCCTGCTATTCAACTCATAGCTGGGGGAGGGTGAGAAGAAATGGATTCATGCCTTTTTAAAAAAAAAAAAAGAAAACTTATACCTAATATCAGGAAAATGCTTCTGGGAGCGCATAATGAGGAAAGAAGGCTTAGAAAATAGGATACTCACAGGACCGATTGAAGGCCGGGGTATTTACGCGTAAGTGAATATAACGAACCCGATTCGAATTCGAACTCGGCTCTCCGATTTCTCGTTCCGAGCCATTACACCACAACGCACAGCCTAAATATGTAATAATCTATATTATAAAAAAGAACGTCGAGCCTAGTCAGTTCCTAGAAGTTAAGTAACGTCGAGCCTGGTCAGTACCTAAAAGGGTGACCTTTTGGGAATACCAGGTGATTTAATTCTAGAATCCGTTCTTCGTAAATTTTGTATGATTATACGTATTCTTCTTGTTTCCATTTTTCTTGGGATCTCTTTGTTGTTTAGACGCTTCGTTCATGGAATTCTCAGCATCCTGCTGTAGAACCACATTTCTGTTGCTTCCAGTTTTCCCATCATCAGTGCGGAGATTGTTCAGCACTCACTGCCACACAAGAGAATTGATACTGCGTAACAGTTCAACGCTGTTTTCTTTGTTTCTTCTCAAATTCAAATACCAAACGAACCACCTTCATCCCCATCATAATGAGTGAGATGTGATATCTACTGGAGTAGCTTGTTTCCACTTCAACCGCTGCTTTGGGGAATCGACTTCCGAGAGGATGCTTCCCCGATCACTATATCTTAACCTGCTCATGTCGAAGGGCAAACCGTTATCTTCCCCATAAACTGCGCCTTTTACTTTGTAGCACTCTCCCTCGAGTGGATCTTGGGCATATATACACGAAACCATACCTTCTGTTTTTTGTGCCGTGTCCCTTCAGGACGTAGGCGATCATGGTTCTCCACCACTTCCTGTCCCTTGTAGCTCTCACTAAGTTTTGTCTTTTTGTTATTTCTCCCAGACCCTGCTCTACCGTCCACTTGCGAGTGGATCTTGGGCATATACAGAGTGTATACACGAAACCATACCTTCTGTTTTTTGTGCCGTGTCCCTTCAGGACGTAGGCGATCATGGCTCTCCACCTCTTCCTGTCCCCTGTAGCTCTCACTAAGTTTTGTCTTTTTGTTATTTCTTCCAAACCCTGTTCTACCGTCCACTTGCTTAAGCCCTTTAACTGTGTCACACGTTGCTTTCCCTTGTCCCTCTTTCCCTCTATCCGCCCTGTGAGTATCAGATTCTCCAAACCCCCCTTTCTCATTACGCGACCCAGAAATCTCCGCTGCCTCCTCCTGATGTAAAGCATAAGTTTTCTCTTTGTTTACATCCTCTCCAAAACCTCATCGTTGCTCACCACATACCACCAACCCTTTTTACCTCACCACAAAAAAAAAAAAAGATATGTACACGTTCATTCTGTCACTAACTCCCAATCAAGTGCCCGTTACAAATCTCTCATACGAACACACGGACACACCCACACGTACACACGGACACATTCACACACGCAAACACAGCACTCCTAGACGTAAACATTAAACAAATGCTGAAACTACATCACGGGGTTTGCTCTGTACTTAAATTAAAAAAAAACAAAAACATTTGTTGATCTACTTCTAGAAAGCGATCCCCGAACTTCTGTTTCATATATTTCGCGACCCGATCCATTTCACTTTTATTCTTATCCTATACGACTGTGAATAGTGAGTTCGATCCTCACTGGGGTCCCATACTTTCGGTCTTGTGCCGCATCTAAGCTACGCTTGGGAAATCACTATTCACTCTTATCCTTGTTCTCCTCAAACGAAAGTATATGAATAATAATAATAATAATAATGATGATGGTGATGATAAAAATAATAATGATGATGATAATGGTAATAATGATCATCATCATCATAATGATAATGATGATGATAATAATGATAATAATGGTAATAATAATGATGATAATAATGATGATGATCATCATCATAATGATTATGATGATGATAATAATAATAATAATAATAATAATAATAATAACTAGTATTAACCGTGAAAATTTTGCTATTCGAATTTTCTGGTGAATCATAATTCTTAAGTTAACGGTTGAATAAGCTCCTTGCGAATTCGCCGAGTAATGAAATATCCCCGGAAATTCTTCTATTGCACCGTTCAATATTTGAGCACAGCAACTTTAACCAAATATCGCCATAACAACCATAAGTATTTAAATAAGTAAGAAGAGGGTACAAAGGAAAATATGAATAGACCGAGATAGATAATGAACAGACTTAGATATGAACAGAGATAGATAGAGAGATATGAACAGAGATAGATAGATAGATAGATAGAGAGATAGATAGATAGATAGATAGATATGAACAGATATAGATAGAGAGATATGAACATAGATAGATAAAGAGATAGAGAGAAAGAGAGATATGAACAGATATAGATAGAGAGATATGAATAGATAGATATGAAGATAGATAGATAGATAGATAGATAGATAGATAGATATGAAGATAGATATAGATAGATAGATATGAACATAGATAGATAGATAGATAAATAGATAGATAGATAGATATGAACAGATATAGATAGAGAGATATGAACATAGATAGATAGATAGATAGATAGATAGATAGATAGATAGATAGATAGATAGATATGAACAGATATAGATAGAGAGATATGAACAGATATAGATAGAGAGATATGAACAGAGATAGATAGATATGAACATAGATAGATATGAACAGATCAGATAGAAATAGATAGACAGAGAGAGAGAGAACAGATATAAATAGATATGAACAGATATAGATAGATAGATAGATAGATAGATAGATAGATAGATAGATAGAAATAGATTGTGATAGATTGTTGATAGATATACGTACGTATAAACACGACCTACACACATATCTACTCAAGTTTATGTCGGCACTTAGTCACTAAGTCTTAGTACATAAATAATATAGTTGTAAACGTGTGAATGTGTGCTCGTGGTTGTAAGGTACTTCGGGAGGGAAATAAAATACTTGTGAATGTGTGAAAGAAAGAAAGAAAGAAAGAAAGAAAGAAAGAAAATACAACACACCCACACTTATCGTCAGTCCTATCGGTCAGTTGGCGTGTCTGTCTGTGTGTCAGTCCGGTTCTTCGGTGCTGTCCCGGTTTTTATAGTAAAGTAATTTAATCCGGTGCCGAAAGAGTACGCGGGGTTCACAGTAATGACAGAAAGATCGTAGTTTCAAATAACACGTTCGGCACCCCACCTCTGCTTACCCTACCTCAGTAACCTCCGACCTCAACACACCCACTCACATGAAATACTTCTTCCTTTCTTTTTATTTAGGTGGGGTAGTGACTTGAAGCAACAGAAATGTGATCCTGCAGAAGGATGCTGAGGATACCGTGGACCGAACGAGGTTTTAGAGAAAATGGAAACAAAATGGAAACTGATACCATGAAAATGTTTCTGGGATGGGAGGAGGGGGCACATAATGAGGAAAGAAGGTTTAGAAAATCGGATACTCACAGGACCGATTGAAGGCCCATGAGATAGAAAAAAAAACCACGCATAGTCTATTTTGTGAGCTGGAGTAAATGGATGATGGAACAGAGTTTAGAAGACAAAAAGACAAAAATTGTTAGGAGCTAAAAAGGACAGGAAATTGTGGAGAGCCATGATTGCCCACGTCCTAAGGGGACACGGCACATAAAAAAGAAGGGGTAAAAAGAACAACCCGTTTTCGTTTCTTTTGAGTGGATTTCAATAATTCAGACTAATCCCAATCTAGAAAGGAATGTCCCTTTTTTTTTTTTATTCTTTCTCCCAGATAGGTTTGTCGTCTGCAGATCAGAACCTCAGATATTCTGGCGCCACTGCCCCATGCTCCACCGCTGAGCCATAGATGTTTTTTTTTTTTTTTCATTCTGGATTTTTAAAACAACGTTAAATATTCTTTTACATACCATGTCCCTTCAGTTGAAGAAGGAACTTTGAAAAAGAGACTGACAGGGTCGGTGCGTACTAAACCCCTGAATCCATCCCGGACGGTGTGAGGGGGGGGTGCAAGCCTGATTAGGGGAACTGGCCAGTGTTTTGTAATCTTTACTATCTTATCAACATCTGCTTTTTTTTCTACTTACATGCTTCAAATTAAGCTAAATATAAATTTTCCTGGATTTTGATGTGATTCCACGGTCTTTTTTTTCTTTCTTTCTTTCTTTCTCGTCCAAGTCCATGAATTTGTTTTGCTAAAAAAAAGAAAAAATATATATAAAATTTACTATTTTTTATCTATAATGTTCAATGCGTTCAATTCTTCAACTTTTTAACAAGAAAAATCTCAAGTCGATGTTAAATATTGCCGCAAAACATTGTTGATTTGTTTAAGATGGAATAACCTATTATGACATGTCTCTAATTTGTATTTAGATACACTGTATTTATTTTCGATTTTTCTAGTTAAATTGTTCATCTATATTGGATATGAGCCATTATGAGCACATAATTAGGTTAGAAATAAAATACTATTTGTATTTGGGCGCCTCGAGGCGTGTAATGGTTAGCAAGCTTTTCTCACTAGAACAATTACGACTGAGTAATGAGTTCGATCCTCAGTTGGGGCCCCATACTCTCGGCCTTGGAAAATCATAATTGTATTTTATATTAATGCCATCTTATGAAATGGAGGCACGGTTGAGTAATGGATAGCGGTTCGGATTGAGGAATCGG